ACACACACACACACACACTCTCTCTCTCTCTCTCACTCTCTCACACACACACAAAAGTAAACCTATGGGGTGAATCATGTCACCCAAGACTTTGTTTATTTGCAGATACAATCTATTTTGTTCAAGAAACACACAATTTGTAGTCACAGTCAGTCAGTGTGGCATTTTATAAATTCCTGCCTTCGGAATAAAACCGGCCTGATTCCAGGTTAAAACGCGGAGACAGATTCTGAACAAGGCCCCACACCTACAATTCACTGTCTGACCTGAGACGTCACCTCTTGTATATTCCTTTCTCTCTCTGACCTTTTGATGTTTGGAAAGTTAGGCAGACACTGATGGAACCTTTAATCTTGGGGCAGTGACTTTAAACAGGTTCTGGAATTTGCATCTTAATCAATCAAAACTTGCATCTCCTTTCTAACAGAGTTCTCCAGACCCTGCTTCTGCAATTTCTAGAATGCAGGAGCGTGTGAAAGATTAAAGATTCAACAGGAAGCAGTCAGTCATCTATTTTAGGTTTGTTCACTCCACTCACACCAGTTGTATGATCCTTTGATATCTCTGCCCTTCATCTCTCTGCCTATAAACTCTATGTCTGTGTGCTTTCCTCATAGAACCCCTACAGTATGGAAACAGGCCATTCGGCCCAACAAGTCCACACCATCCCTCCAAAGAGCATCCCACCCAGATCCATTCCCCTACCCCTGTATTGCCCAAGACTAACCCAAATATCCCTGGGCACTATGGGGCAATTTAGCATGGCCAATCCACCTACCCTGCACATCTTTGTGGACAGTGGGAGGAAACCCAGACACCCGGAGGAAACCCACACAGACTCAGGGTGAACATGCTAACTCCACACAGACAGTCACCCAAGGGTGGAATTGAACCCGGGTGCCTGGTGCTGTGAGGCAGCAGTGCTAACCACTGAGCCACCCTAATTCTCTCACCGCACCTGACGAAGGGGCTGCACTCTGAAAGCTTGTGATTTCAAATAAGCCTGTTGGATTATAACATGGTGTCGTCTGATTTTTGACTTTGTCAACCCCAGTCCAACACCGGAGCCTCCACATCATCGAAGGTGCAGTGTCCATTTTCGAGACTGGTGGACTCTTCCAAGCTGTTTGATGCAACAAGGTCTTCAAGATGATACAACTGAAGCTGAGAAAGGGTAATGTTTAGATTTTACTAGACAGAATGCAGCAAAATATATACAATGTCCGAGGAAACAATGGAGTTTGGTAATGCCATCAAATTCAAGAGAGAGCTTATGATGGAAATAGATTGTCAGGGGCAGGGTGGGGGCATTGGCGGGAGTAGTTGTCAAAGCCTGAAACAGCAGGTTGTGCGCAATTTTTAATTTCAGATCATGTGCAAGAGGGGGAATGTTACAGCAATACTGCAACTAGTTGACCTCGGCTGGATTATTATTTCCACGTCCAGCTACCATACTTCTGATTTAATTTAGTTTTGTTTTATTCTTTTAGAACATGTGTGACAGCCCTGGAGGAGGCATGGCAGCAACTTAATGGGAAAATAGCAGGGATGAGCAACTTCAGTCATCTGGAGACACCAGAGATGCTGGAGCTGCTCGCTCTTGAGCAAAGGAAGCTAAGCAGAGATTTAATAGAGGCGTTCTGAATGTTAAGGAGTTTTTGTAGGGAAGATTATGGCAAAACTATTTCCACAGGGGAAGGATTGCAGAGTCATACAGCATGGAAACAGATCCTTTGGTCCAACTCGTCCATGCCAACCAGATATCCTAAATTGAACAAATCCCATTTGCCTGTGTTCGCCCCATATCCCTCTAAACGTTTCCTATTCATGTACCTGTCCAAACGTCTTTTAAATGTTGCAATTGTACCGGCCTCCACCACTTCCTGTGGCAGCTCATTCTATACATGCACCACCCTCTGAGTGAAAAAGTTGACCCTAAGGTCCCTTTCAAATCTTTCTCCCTCACCTTAAACCTATTCCCTGTAGTTTTGGACTCCGCTACCCTGGGAAAAAGACCTATTCACCTTATCTAATCTCCTCATGATTTTATTAACCTCTATAAGATCTCCCCTCAGCTTCTGATACTCAGGTGAAAAAAGTCCCAGCCTATCCAGCCTCTCCTTACAACACAAGCTCTCCGTTCCCGGCAATATCCTTGTAAATTTTTTTCTGTGCCCTTCCTAGTTTAAAAACATTCTTCCCATAGCACCGTGATAACGGTTTACAGATTGATGATGATGAACAAAAGAACCAAATGTAAAGTGAGAAGAATTTTTTTAATGCAATGAGATTGTCATAGTCTGGAATTTACTGCCTGAAAGAAAGTTTTAATGCTGCTTTCAAAAGGGCATTCAACAAATAAATTTCAGAAAAGGGCAATTTTCAACCGTATAGGGAAAACAAATGGGAAGGAGAGTGGGAAAACCATTTCAAACAGTGGGCACAGGCACAAAGAATCGAATGGTCTCCCCTATGCCAGGGGCTTTTGTGAGCCAGAATTTGCAGTAGCAGGGCATTAAACAGAATGTGTCTTTTGGTGGAATGGCCCTTGTACCCTTGAGCTCAAAACCATCTTTCCCCATAAAGTCACTGAAAGAGGGAACTGGCATGTCATAGAGACAGAGCTCAACAAGGTATCTGTTTAACAGTGAATTTAACTTCGAACAGGATGCGAAGAAGGGTCTGAATTCAATGTGAAATTTCCAAAAAAAGGGGAGTAATAAGGAGAGAGAAACATTGGAATATGAGTGAGAGAAAAGGAAAGGTGAACCAAAGGAAATGTACAAAATCAAATTAAATTTAAAAGTTACGCTGTTCTTTCAAGCCTCTGAACCTAAAAGCGTGGGACTCCACCTTCGCAACTCGTTTGTTTGGTGCCGGTGAGAATGACTAGTAACTGTTGACATTGACAGGACTGGCAACATCTCTCTTTTTAGCAATATTCATCAGGCTGTTAATAACCATAAGAAATACATACAGGAGTCGGTCCCTCAAACCTGCACCATCTTTCAACAGGATTATGGCTGATCCGACAAAATTGTATTTGTTCATGTAACGCCACAGCTTAACTTGATCAGGTGTGTTTAGTTGGCAATTCTTGGGCATAAGTGGCAAAAAAAGGGGCAGCGTGCTTTGCAAAGCTAACAAAACTATATCACAGGGAACAACCACTGGATTTTGACATTCCAGGGATATCTGCTCCTCACAGCCACTGCATCACTTACCCCTTGAAGCACTTGACATTATTTCAATGGTCACTCCTGACCCATTAATGAATCTACTAGGACAATTCCTTTCGCAGTGTCTATCTCTTTAAATGCGCTGAAATGTAACCTTCTGCACTTGAACACACACCAAGTCTGCATTGGAGCTGTTTAATGATTCTGCACTCGAGCTGGTACATAAAAGCCAAGTGTTGCTCAGTACCTTGCTAGAGAGAATAAGCACAGTTCTCAATGATTTAGAGCTATTTGTACATTAAAAAAAACATTGCATTCTATGAAGCACACAAGAATGGACTTGGGCATTCCAAGTCTCTGATATTGAACTGACTTTCATTATCAGCGACCTGCCCTGTCGACCAGCACTCCTTTTAGTAAGTTCCTGGTTATGTTAGTTTGGAGTGACCAGCTATCACATAGAGCATGATAGAATCACTAGCTTCGCACTCAGTGATGACATTGTTCTAAGATCAGTCGGCAGTCATAAGGTACCGGAAGAGACGCTTTGGCTCACTGTGCCAGTGATCGGATTTTGAAAAGCTCAGCACAGTCCCCCAACAAGGTGCTCCCTTCTCCCAACACACACAGCTATTCTGATAGTGACCACTGACAATTGATGTAAAAACCCATCTGGTTCATTAATGTCCTTGAGGGAAGGAAATCTGCCATCCTTACCTGGTCTGGCCTACAGACCCACAACAATGTGGGTGACTCTTCGAGATAGCAAGAACTGCCGATGCTGGAGTCAGAGATAACAGTGTGGAGCTGGAGGTACACAGCAGGCCGGGCAGCATCAGAGGAGCAGGGGAGTTGACATTTCGGGTCGGGACCCTTCTTCAGATCTGCCCTCTGTGCAATTGGAGATGGGTAATGCTGGCCTAGCCAGTGATGTCCACACAGCCATGAACATTTTGTTTTAAAGGCTCTGCCGATTGCACTGTAGACTGAATTCGAATGAAGCCTTGCAATAAATACCTGCAGGATAAAAATCTTAAATAGCAACTTTGTCACTGGTTAATGTTTGCAGGCCCCAGTTATCGCCACCAAGGCATCTGCTCCACGTACATGCCAGGCTGCCAGCTTTTGGCCAACTGAAAGCCAGGGAAGAAGGACACACTGTTTAAAAAAGGGGGTAAGCATATCGCATCTTTCTGTACCTGTTTGAACATAATAAAGCTCCTTTGAAAGAAAATAAAACAACTCGAAGCCAGCAAGCGAACAACTTGTCTGCAGGCTGTTTTCCATTGCTAAGAGGGGTATAGCCAGGCCAGGTTCCATATGGTGGTTAGAACTGCCGATGCTGGAGTCTGAGATAACACAGAGTGGACCCAGGCCAGGCAGCATCAGAGGAGCAGGAAAGCTGACGTTTCGGGTCGGGACCCTTCAGAAATTTCGGAATTCTGACGAAATATTTCTGCTGTGTTCCTCCAGCTCCACACTGTGTTATCTCAGGTTCCATATGGTGGATAAACAAGCCATTTAAAACCAGTTACGGCATGGATTGGAGTGGATGGTCTCACCCCAGGGTGACAAATCAGTGGAAGCTGTCCCCAGTCAGGCAAGCTTCTTTTCTGAGTTAAGGATTTGGAATTGGCTCTGACTGTATCCGTAACCTGACACGAGACGCACTCTGCTTTAAAGGGAAGCTGAAGTAAGACGCAGGATTTAGGTTCCAGTATCGATTACACGGGGAAAGCCAGTGGGGAGTTTGTTTTTTTGTAAAAGAATATGAATGCATTTTGTTTTGTTGGAATGGATGAAGGTGAATTTTCCCCCTACCCGGTGCCACATGCCACGTCCAGGACCCGCTGACACTGATGCTGTCGGAGCAGTTGGACCACAGCGCTGCGGTATTCGTCTGTGCGGCTCCTTCTATCGCCGATATACAGCTGCCAGACTCTGGCCGCTCTGCCGTCCGCGTACTGGTCCGGCAAGCCCACCGCTGCCACCCCGAGCGATCGGGTCCGGTACACGTTGTCCACCATATGGCCGAGCTCAGGCACGCTTCTCCCACACGGAAACAGGCTCAACGATCACAAAAAATAAACACGTTCAGCTGCAGCCGCGGTACAAAATAAAAACTTCAGCAGAACTCCCCGCAAAAAACTTTCTCAGCCAATCAGAGGCGCCGCTACAAGCGCGCCCCTTTCCACTGACCACACCCCCCTAACACTGACCACACCACCCCACACTGACCACACCCCCTAACACTGACCACACCACCCCACACT